GTGAATTTTACGAAACAAAGCAGACGCATGAATTTCAATTTCTGCACAATATTCGTAACGTTTAATGATCTTTTCTAATGCTCAATAATTAATGGATATTTATGAAACGGTACATTGTCATGAAGCATTTTGTATTGCTGCATCTATGTAGCATTAATAATGTGTTAATTAATTATTCCTAAATCATCGTTGAATCGTGTACGAACCAACGTTACATAATATCGAAAATTCAAATAAATTTTTGATATTCGCTTCTATTCACGGGACATTGAATTTTAAAGCTCCGTGATTGTTCGAACGATGCAAGATCGTTTGAGTTTCGTTAAATTGAATTGATTCTGTTTTTCAATGCGTGTTACTTAAAAATATGCGCTTTGCGGGAGGCTGCGTTTGGCGAGAAGCGCAACTTGCGTTCACCTGAAAATTGAAAAAGACGACTGATGGCAATACTCCACGGCATGGCAAAGTGCAGTTCCCCGTAAGTTCAGCTCTCTTTCGACGAACGCACCTGCAACGTGCCGCCTCATTTTTCTTTCCCTTTAATGAAACCACTGCCCTCTCGAATTACAAATTCATTATCCGGCCAGAAGGAGCAACAATATTTTACACCGCCCCGGCTGGTTAGCTTGTTTCGTCAATGTGTAAATAAAAAAATGCTGTCAACTTTTAATTTCGATAATTAAAAATGCGACGTGTCGAAAAAAAGATACGAGCTACATACGAACCATCAAAAGTTTTAGTTCTTGATGCAACTTAAATATATGAATGATAAATGAATGTTTCTAGACTCTTCATTAAAATTATCCGATTCAAAAGTGTAATTTGTTACGTTTCAGGAATTTTACTTTTGAAAGGTAGTGGGATAGAAACTGGCTGAGATTTTTTTTTTAATTTGAATGTTCTACCAGGACTATTAAACAAACGGATTTTGATTCTCTCGAGAACACAATAAGGAACAGGGAGAAAGAGGGAGAGGGAAAGAGAAAGAAAGAAGGTCCGTTCTTAGAGAGCGCAGCAGGTAAACCAGGAAAGTTTTGATGTATGACCTCTTTACCTGCTGAATTGCTTGGCGTAAATGAAGACGAATGGCGGAACCCAAGGAAGAAAAAGCTTCTGGGTACCGTGGAAATGCTTATCCTTGCGATGGAACGACGTACCAATGGCCGAAGAAACTTTGCCAGTATATTCTAACCGCTTCGAGGACGAAAGACTTTGCATTAAAAACTACCACGCCCTCTTTCAAATCCAAAAACGCGCGATTGCACTCGTCCTGAAACACTTCGAGGCATTTTGACCATTTGTACTTGCAGTACCTTAATTAAAAACAATTGCATAAAAATCTTTAATGCAATTGAAATAGTTACTTAAACAATTCCAAAGATCAATCAATTAACTATTTAAATAGTATTCATTTCATCATTATCATGAATATAATTAAACCCATCAATTACAGTCAGATGTAAATATCCATAACGCTTAAATTACTGTTGCCACGTTCTCAAAGAAACGGCGATTTATTGACTGATACAGCGATGAAAATAAACGGAAACGAGGAGGAAACGGTAACACCGGGATAATTTAATATTGAAACCTCTCGGCGAAATCGCGCGAGAAGTTCGGTATTCCTGTCGCAGACGAGCGAAACGAGAATCCGCGATAGAAAATTCTTACTCGTGGCGTTTAGTGAAGCTCGAGATCTCTTTTTCGCTGTCCGTATCGGTCATCTGTAATGCGTGGAACACGTCAGGCTGCCCGTGAATTTTTCATTTAAAAATTCGCATTTCACCGCGTAACCCAGTTGCTTGGCCAAGGCCAAGTTCCCTTCAATCTAGGCATCCCGAGAGTCCTTACGAGGGCAGCTTCATTCGATCGCCGAAACCTAAACCGAAGTTTTAACCGGCAGAACCACCGCGAAACACCCGGACTTTATTTTCATTCTGTTTACTTAAGAGCTAGCCTGCCGAGTTCCAACAGAACCCGCGTCGAATTCTTTTCTTTCGCTTAATCTCGTCTGCGAGGCGAGAGAACGCAGCGAGAATTTCGCGCGACCCGTGAAAGAAGCAATTCCCTACCTCGCTGACCCTTTCACGGCCGTATAAAAAAATGATACGAGCCTCGAAGAAGTGTACATTCTCCCGCGCTGCTGGTGGAAAGTTCCCCGCCGCGTAAAAATTTTCCAGTAAGGAAAGCGAAGCGATGAAGTTTAACGTTCAACCCTTCGCGGGTTAGAATTTTTAGATGCCTCGCGAACCTCTCTCATAGAAAGGAGAATGGTAAATTGAATTCTTGAGTATTAGGGACAAAGAGAGTTGTGCAATAATTCTCTGCCATTTAAAATAAATACGTTTTATATATTGCATATGAAAGCTTAGGCCGATATGACGATTTTTATTAAACCACATTTTTGATGCTTCAATGTTATAAAAGTCTTAAAGAAAGGAATTTTCTACTGTCTTCCAAATTTGTAATTCACATAATTAACATACTTCTAACTACCAAATTGCTAACGTAAAACATTAAGAACACTTCCAAGCAGTCTTCGTTAAACGTAGAGAAATAATTGTAAAATGATCAGCAAAAATGATGTATCCGAATCTAAACGATCTCGAGAAACTAAGCTGAAAGAGACCAGCCGTAGGGGACTGCGCGGGTGCAAGAAAAGCTAGACGAAAGGTGCCGGAGGAGAAACGGGACGAGAGGTGGTGGGCAAACAACTCTAGACTCAGCCGTGGAGGTGTCGCGTGAAGTGGAGCCGCGAAAGGTTCGCGTTCATCGGTGCGTGCCTCGCGAAGAAGCTCTCTCCGGCGGCTTTCGAGCACCGTCATCCGTGCAAGCAGCCGCGAGCCGTGGGTGGTTCAGCCTGCGCGGAGGCTGCGAGCACATTTATTGCCCCGATGTAGCAACGTTATTGCTCGGCGAAGTGGGCCAATGTTGCCAACCTCGGCCCCGAATCGGGCTGATTAAAGCGGAGCTTTTAGAAATTGAGCTCCCATCGTAGGTACCTTCCTTTAGCCGCTGGTCTATCCCCTTTTTTTCATCCCTCCGAGATCTTAATTGCACGGTATCCACGTGCGAGAACGTCTTCCCCGGAGATTCACCTGGAGCACAGGGATTACTTATCCAGAAATTACAATCGGAATTGCCGTTAGGTCGATCTTGGACGTTTTCCCGAACGAAGACGCGTTGACGAACGAAACGCTCGAGTCCTAGTGGGTCACATTGCTAATTGAACTGCCCTCGTCTTCCGTGAAACTGCGGGGGTTATCGGATTCGTTAGGGATAATACTGCTTGGTATTTACCGAGTACTTTTATTGCGTCCGTCTCGAATTTATGGACAGCGAAGGAATTATGCTTGCTTCGGGATGGTGGCTTGGTTGGCTGTTCGAACGTTGCTCTGAACGAGGGTGGAGCTAAAAATGGAGTTGAAATGGAATGTTTATTATCTTGGAGATTATGCACGTGTTAAAATAGATTGAAATAGGTTTACTTCGACAATTATTTCATTAACACTAGGTTTACTAGATTTGCAATATGTTTATTTATTGTACACTTTATTTTATTAGTCTTAGAAAATCTGATATTCGTTCGTTTAGATTACAGAAATTAGAGGTTTGAAGATTAGACGATTAAAATACACATTTGAGTTATTGGATCAAGCAAAATGGACATTAGCATTTACTAAATAATGTTTGTAAAATTTAATATGCGTCAAATTGACGCGTTTCGTAAACCTAGTGTTGATATATCTAATAAGAAAGATTAACAATATTAATAATATTAATTAAGATTAATAATATTAATCAATATAAATTGAAATATATTGACCACTCTTTGGTCTCCTTTCGAATTTTTGATTGCAAGAATATATCTCGTCGTACTTCTCTCTTTCTGTTATTTATTACAATTCATTGGAATCGTTGAAAATCGATACAGTACGTTCAACGAGTAAGATTGAAATCAATTTCTTTCCAATTAATTTTAACCAATCAAACACTGATGACAGCGACGCAATTTGGACCAGCTCGTTCCCAAACATTTCAATTAAACAGTCCCATCTTCTCGACTATGGATATTGTTGCGGCTAACGCGTGAAGATTGAATGCAGGTCCGACTGCGAGCTTCCTAATTAAACGGGCGGCCTTGAAGAAAAGCAAAAGCCCGACACACTTCGTTCTCGCGTTTACTACGTGTCTTCGGTGAGGAAGCCGAGCGCGGTTTCCGCTTTGCGGCCCGATTTCCGCGAGACTCTTCTACCAGACTGGCGATGAATCGCCATTTTCTTTACCCGCGGCTGCCTCTGTATAACGTAATGATTTTGCGAGGTCGTTGTAGGTCGGCCGAGGATCCAGGAGTGCATCTGATGCACGATATTTTCGTGCGTGCACACGAAACCGAAACGTAAATCGACTTTTAAGACCATCCGATTTATTGAAACCGGAGGTAGGCGAAATGATTATACGTTATTTATAACGTGCAATGATTCGAATAAAACAGTTGATCTGATTAAAAAACAATTTTCTGTAGTTATCTATTGTTACTAACCCGTTACTTCATAACAACGCGTTAGACTCGTGGTGAAGATTTTAAACGAAATTTAACAAGCCTAAGTATTACTCGATTCTTTTGAGTTCAAATTATATACTATTCTTCTATTACTAATAAGTACACTTTACACCATACATAGAAGATGCCTAGAATTTCTGTTTTTTCAATAAATTATTCGTGGCAATATAGTTGTGTCGATCGCAGTTGAAAAGTAAATTATAGGGCAAGGGGTTAATCTGAAAAAGAATTTAGTGTTTTTAGTAATCATAATTTGAAGTAATTAACTAGGAATAGTTGACTAGTAATAAGTAACTAAGTAATCACTTAAGCATAATTGAAATACTTCAACATGATAGTAATTTAATAATTAATTATTGATAATAATGAATAATAACTGATTCATTTAATAATTATGGTGATGCTTTAATCGACATTATTTCATTTCTAATTCCAGATTCTACTGGGACCTCTGCATGCTCCTCCTACTGGTAGCGAACCTGATAATTCTGCCAGTCGCCATTAGTTTTTTCAATGACGACCTAAGCACTAGGTGGATAGCCTTCAACTGCCTTTCCGACACGATATTCCTTATAGACATCGTCGTCAACTTCAGGACAGGTGAGTGTTGTTTCTCAGTTAATAAAAATAATTACATTCAATAAATAATATTCTGTAGAAATTGAATATTTTCACAAGCACTCCGCTCGGAAACGAACAGAAAAAGCCGAAACTCGGACGATACTTGATATCTGGAACTACATTTCACTTCGAAAAGAATTCCCCGAGTTTCTTTGCGCGATTTAAGGCTTTTATAGGTACCGGGGAGCAGTATACAAAAACGTGGCTCGAACATCCTCCCTCTCGAACCGGCAATGATCAATCCAGAACGTGCGGTAACCTCGTATTCGATGCGAAAGTTTGCATTGTCGTGGGAGAAGACATAACGGAGAGAATAGCCGACCTCGTTCCCTCCTCTTTCTCAATTTTTCCTCCATGTTTTCTTGAGAGCAACGCAAGTAACAGGCCCTGCGATCTATTTATACTCCCCTGAAAAAAGCCTTCGGTACTTGGATTTGAATTGTTAATTAGTATCTCGCGTACAATCTTCGCTGGCTTAGTTTTCTATTATGCCACTGTTCATGTTGGAGAACATTTCGAGCTTCAGGTTTAAGATGAAGTGACGAATGTATATACAATACATTGAACAGAGTTTCCTTCGGGAATTAGATGAACGATCCTTTTTCAAAATACTTCACATTCACATAATTGAAATCTTATTGCATTTAATAATATCGTATTAATTCTATATTATTATTCAAACTGTAAATAACCTGTAGATCTTTCGTTTCCTTCTTTTTCGAGTTTTAAACTTATTTGATTGTGAAAAACCTTGTCAACTCAATCGATTCTACCTTAAAGAATGCAAGAATATAATCTTGTAAGTTCGCGATCGACTGGCTGGTGAAAAGAAGTTCTCCGAGACTCGTTCCTTTGTTCATTCCGGCACGTTTTATCCTAGACTCCGCCGACAGCAGCTTCCCCTTTAATGTCAACAATTAGAAGTTCTTTCTTTTCAAACTCCTCGCGAGCTTTGCCGGGCCGCTGACACTGACGGCTTTTTGAAAGGCGGCTTGAGCCTTCAAACACCCTTAGAACATCATTACCTAATCGTGACCGGGAGAAAAATGACGGGAAAAAGTCATTTGCAGAGATGAAACGATATTTACAAGTGGCACACCGTCTTTCTGAATTCATCCTCCAAGTTTCGTTCCTTTATGCTTTACCTCGTTTATTTAGTATAGATATTTGTCCGTGAAATTCTACCAAAATTCTTGCGAAAACATTTAATTTCCCTCGTATATGCCAAACTATAACTAATATGAAAATATCAGTCGGTTCAATACTCTCACATCAATACGTCCAAATCAAGACGACATTTAAATTGCAATAGATTCAACTTATCAACATTATCAATTATATATTCACAAAAACATACGACATTTTGAACGAGAATCCGACTAATAAACGAACCTGAAGAATAAATATTTTCACTCCATTCAATTCGCAAGCAATAATTTATAATTTCGTTATTTCATTATATTTTTGTTACGGAACATTTACGATTCAATATTTATGTAACATTATTTCCTACCGTTAGTCACAGAATATGCTTGTACCATTTATCGAGGTAAAAATGGAGCACCCTGTATTTCATCGTACGAATGTTCGGCTGTCAAACCTTCAGTGCGACACGACGCGCAGTAATGACATTGTCCGACACGCGGGTGGAGTACTCCGCGGCTCGCAGACGTTTCGTTATTACCGTGTCGGTGGGAGAGGGCAAGGGAATTAATTTGAAACGCGTTTGAGTTGGTCCCAGGAACGGGGAAATTGGGTCACGTGCCCTACGCCCGTTCTCGCCCGACCCCGAGCTGCCCCGCGATGAAAACCATTGTACGCCGCTAAACCGGGTACGTGTGCCGCGTCGACTCGGCGATTGTTGCGAATTCTTGATCCAGATTATCGGCCGTCGACCAATATTACGTTCCGCGAGCTGCATACTAACGCCTGGACGCATCCAATGACCGAGTCGATCGAGGATGAAATATTTGTATGCTAATAGGGGTGTAGGTCGTTGCTTCCGTATTCCACGGGGCGCTGGCAGCTGTCGAATTAGCCAGGAACGATTGGTTATTTGAAATAACTTATTCTTATTCTGACGATTGGAAACTTTGTGTTCATTTCGAGGGAGTCTCTTATTTCACCAAAGTGATTGGTAGACGGAAGTGATTTTATTTTCAAAATTTCCGGAAATAGTTTGAAAAAGAGGAATCATTGATTATTTGAAATAACAGGTATTTTCGTATTGTATTTGAGACTTTGCGTTGGTTACATGAGTCTTTTACTTAGGCAAAGTGATTGGTAGTAATTTTATTTTAAAACTTCCCGGAAATAATTTGAAGGAAGAGGAACAATCTGTTATTTGAAATAACTTATTTTCACATTACAAGTTGTATCACGTTGATCTGAAGCAAGTCTTGTACTTGGCCAAAATGATTGGTAGACGATAGTCATTTCATTTTCTAAATTTTCTGAAGTAATTTAAGAAAACATGGTTTTAGTATAAATGGATTTCTTGTCTAGTGATTAGACTCATCAAACGAATGCAATTCAAAATTGAATTATTAAATTGAATTAAATATTAATTTCGAAATTAATTCATTTCAATTAATTGCGTCGTTCCACTTTCGTTTTTCAGGTATAATGCAGCAGGATAATGCCGAACAAGTAATCCTGGATCCGAAGTTAATCGCGAAACACTACCTCAGGACTTGGTTCTTTCTCGACCTCATTTCCTCCATACCACTAGACTACATTTTCCTCATATTTAATCAAGTAAGTGCGTATTAATATGTCTGTGTCCCGGGGCACCATGTTCTTTGTTTCCATTCATTTTCCGGTCCCGTTTTTATTCTTCGGTATAATGTGCTCTTTTTGCATAGTTAATCCTTATGTGTTTTACGCACAGTCAACGAGCATAAAATATTTTTAATTATCAGAATTTGCTGGATACTGAAATTGTTAGAAAAACGCTTGGCACGGTGACTTGTTGTTCGAGAATCTCCCGCAGTCGTTAAATACGTGTGACAATTAAATGCGTGCGAGATCTGTGTAAAAATTTCCTGTGAAACTATTAATGAATATTTGCTTATAACATTTGCTCGTTTCGAAAGTTATTTCAATGAATTCGCTTTTATCCACAGATTTCGTTAAAAAAATCCTCATCGAGAAAATGCTCCATATCTTTACAGAAATGTTGTAAATTTCGTTTAATATTTTAATTTATTTATTCAATAAACGTGAAGACGTTTTATGAACTTTATAATGTGAGATTTTATTATAGATTGTTCTTGTAGAAAAGCAAGGTGGGTTATATATATATAAAAAAACACACAAAGTTTCATGTACCACTTTATATTCATTTACAATTACAAATTGAATAATATAAATTTTCACAAATCAAACACAAATGTTACTGGTCAGATACAAGAAATCTTCCATAATATTTGATCATTACGAACTGCTGTTACAACTTTTTTTTTCTGTCAGTCTCTTTCCTAGAAATCAAATTCATTCATCATTCAAAACTTTTATCGACACTGTAACTATCAAAACAATCTTGGACACAGCAGAAAACAGGAGGAATTATAGTCATAAACGACGACGATCGACGAAGCAGCCTGCACCAAGCTCAAACCAATAACTAAATATGAATTTCAGTTTCAGGACTTTAGCGAGTCCTTCCAGATCCTGCATGCTGGCCGTGCTCTCAGGATCCTCAGACTTGCGAAACTGTTGTCGCTCGTTAGGTTACTACGGTTGTCAAGACTGGTGCGGTATGTCTCGCAATGGGAAGAGGTCTATGTGAGTGTTAACCACAATTTCTTCTACCGAGCACCGT